GGCCCTTCATCCCAATTAACAGTCGCCAAAAGGAACATGCGTGAACGGGTACCATGTGTCATAGTGGACAAATGAGCAATTGGTTGCTCCGCTAGCAAAACCCAATTCGCCGATTAACCTGAAATGTCCGGTGACAAAGGGATTGGTGGCGTCGATATTGCCCAATACTTTGTAGCATACCAACTACAAGCTGTGTAGATATGACATAGCTAAACTCAAGTAAATGGCAAGGGAGAGATAAGCTCTTTACAAGTAAAAATGTATTACGGTAGAGACAAAATGAAGAAGAAGAAAAGCTTCAGCAAAGGTGTCAGTCTGACTCTGTTAGAAAAGTGCTGGTGTGCTGATCACCTCGAGATCATCCGGTTGCCAATATTTGCAATGAAGGAGCTAACTAAAGCCTATGATTAGAGTAGGCAGCGATGAAGTGCCTGATCGCTGAATCACTCACACCTTGGCTTTTCATGTAAGCTGCAGCGTCATCTAGAGGCATCATTCCCTGCTTCCACGAGCTCAGAATAGTTTTCAGGTGTTCCGGTTCAGTTGCCATTCTGTGGAATTGTTTGTTCGCCAACTTCTTCAAAGCTTTTATCTCGATTTTTGTGAAATCAAGCCCGCGTTCTTCTTCTGCCGTGGCGTCGGTGACAGTCGTCTTAATTGACCGCAGGGACCTTGTTTCAGCGCCAGCCGGAATGGACAGTTTGCTACCAGACGCAAAGAGAGCAGTCGATGCGGCAAACAACAGGAAAAGGGTGAGACGCATTCTTGGTCTTGGGTTTGGCGAGTGGGGCGTCTTGTGTGTGGGCTTGCTGGTAAGGTGGGAACTGAATACCCACTGTCCCGCTTCCGGATATCGAGAGACCAACAAGTAGACTCAACCTGACCAACCCGGTTCTCCGTTGCCACGCATTGGGGTGTCGATTGATCGACAGATGCAACCAACCTGACGATGATCTGTAGATTGCGATTGGATTGATTTGCACGCTAAATTTATCATCATACCAAATAGCGTAGTTTTAGATTGGTTTAAGTAACAGTAACTCCATTGTTCCCTCTGCCGAGGATTACTGTATATTCTACAACAAGGACAACCAGCGTCATATTCTTCTACCTCCGCCCCC